AGTAGAGAATAAATGTCGGTAGCACTGTATTTCCATTAGGAAAGAGGTGTTGTGCTTGACATTGACGTCTAAGGCAATTTTTGACGATACTTGTCGGATATCCGTTGGACCTTAAGAATATGTACAAGTACGCTAGTTCTTTCTTGAGCAAACCATCATTACTGCAATAGCGGTAGGCCCGTTGGAAAAGAGTACGAATACAGCTTCCTTTATGGGCCGCAGGGTGATTACTGCCATATTTAAGGATAATTTCCGCAATGGCGTACTTTTGGTGCACGCTTGTTGCGAGTTCGCCATCACGTTCACGAATGGGAGGATATCTGCTGTTGCCTTTTTGCGAAGATATTTCATTTCTGGGAAGACCCCATTTACACTCTGGTGCAGTTGTTCGACGTTACAAGTCTTTGTGATGACGAATGTTTCCTCTAAGTAGCGGAGACCCAGCTTCGGTTTGACAGCTTGTAAAACATCCCCTTCTAGTCGCTGTAAGACTAGTTCGGCAACTGCAGGATTTTGTGGGTATATGGCTATCTGCAGTGCTTAAGAGAGAGATTCTCTTTATTTTGAATATATCATTCCGAAATTTTCAGTAAAAACTTCCCACGTTTGCAAGGAATAAAATTTGACGCACAGACTGACAACACCAAGAAATTTTCAATGACTGCAAGTGTCGACATCGTGACTAAATGTCCTTGGAAAATTAGTCAACTACAGGGCATCCAAATTTTCGCAACTGCGTGAAGGAGGGTGCGCTCTAAAGCACACAGAACTCAGTACCTTTTCTGTATTGTCTTCAGGATTCCCCTGTAGTTCCCGTTGTCACGAATATTTGACCAATGTTAGACTCTTCTCAGGTTCGGACATTTAAGACTTCTTCTTGGCCCGCAAAATCCAGGTGACTAATTTTCAATGCGCAGATATGCGACTACAGGGTCGAAAACGGTATATAGTCGTTTCCCCATAAGCGCAAGAAAGTGGAAATTAGGAACCGGGGTCTACGAATACGCTGTGTATACGGGAGAGAAAGCAGAATATGCCTAAGCCTCATTTAACTTGGTAGGATGGTGAGTGTAACACCGTATGCCTGTTGGTGCTTTAGAGACATACGTCTAGTCCTTCTTGGTGTCCGTCAAGGTAGACTCTATGTGATTGATACTCTCTGAATACCAGACCTAGAGAAGCCCACGCGCGGTTTACCGGGGTCATTGGTAGTACTTGTGTTACTTTTCGGTAGAAGTTACAGCAATTGTTGGGGTATGTTTCATGCCAAAGAAGGACAATCTGGTGATGATGACTGTGCCAGTACTTCTTTGAGAATGCATAAGCTTGTTAGAGTGGGCAGCATGACTACTCTGACTAATCTAGGTGTGTCATCATAGATCCGGTACGATGGTACCGGCAGAGCCTAAACCATCTTCGTACTTTAAGGTAGTCTGAAGGGAGCTTCATGGCGTCCCCTTCAGCCAAACAGGCCTATCGATTGCATACTTAGGGCAACATCCTTTCGCTTACATAAATTCTCCCTTTGTTACCGGATAAACCTAATAATAATTATACTAGTATATGACCTCACTTATGTAAAATTCGAAAATTTGAAAAAAAAAATTACTTCTCACTGGCAACCCGGGATTAACGCGTGTACCAAATCAAAAATGATGATGTACAGCCTCAAGCGGACTAAGAGGAAATACAAAACTTAATATCACCGTGTTTAAAAATACTAGTAATTTAAAAAAGCGGCATTTTCCGAAAACACCACAAATCGCTTGATTGTGGGTTGACTTCATGGGAAATTCAGCTTGGGCAGTGACAAGTAAATTAAGCCAAGCGGGATTAAACTCACGGCTGCCGATGTGTGCCTCGTGGCTCTCTTGGCTGTACTGCAGTTTCCCCCTCCCCACCTAGCATGGGTTTGAATCCCCCCCCCCG